CCTGGTTGGTGAGAGTGCATCTGCATCCCGGAGCCTCTGTTTGAACTTCATGGTCTCTGTGCTACACATCAGGAAATTTCGCAGCACAGTGGAGTTCGTACTGAAATTTCAAATAGCGAAGCGTACTACTGGGCCGTGGCCGCATTGGTAGTACCCCAACCCAACTGGCGGACGGGAAGGAACTGAAGAGGGAGCCACAGCAGGAGGTGGGCAAAACGATCGAACCACGACAGGGAGAAGAACTAGTACCATCATCAACAACCTGACGAGAGAGAAGGACAGCCACGAAGAGAAGTTGGAGGGAGATTCGGTGGTGAGGTACCACAGCAACCACCGCAAGAAGACAAGGAGATGAGCAACGGAACGCCATCACCCGGCAAAGATGAAATATTCGATCGCACGGCCCGTTTGGTTATGACCAGCGTCAATGACGGTAGCGTGCACCTTCTAACTCCTCCCAATCATCTCCGGTCTCCACAAAATCGCTTTGTCACATCTCCTCTTCCCCCCCCCCGGCCCTCCTCTTTGTCGTTTTCGTTCTTCCTTTTTTGATTTCATTTTTAATTCCCTTCCAATTATTTTGATTTATTATTATCTATTATCTATTGATTGTTGTTGTTTTGGAAGTACAGCGGACATGGAGGCATTCCTGCTGAGCTACCCCATGGTCCTCACACCCAAGAACGATCTCGCCCTGCTGTGGGCCGAAGAGTACTCGACCGTCCCACCTCGTCTTCTCTTCATTTGCCCTTTTGCCCTGACTCTCCGCGTCTTATGCGATCTCTTGTGTGTGCGGTGCTGCGCCACAGGTATCGTAAGGCGTGTTCGTGGCGGCTCGACGGTGACACGCGCAAGAAGCACCACGCCGAAAGGTTACCTTACCTCTTCTCCCGCACTCATCACGCAGCCTTCAACTTACATCTTTTCTCTGCGTTGTGCGTTGTGCGTTGTGCGTTGTGTCGTGTGTCGTGTCGTCTCGTGTCCTGCGCTCTCAGAATCCTGGAGTTTATGCGCATATGGGCCAAGAACTACCCCAACGATTTCACACCGGCGTCGCGCAAGGCCGTGCTGGACGTGCTCACCAAGGAGACCGGCGGCAATGCGGCCCTGCTCAACGAGTTCAAGCTCCTCTTTCTCAAGCGCCAGGCCAACCCGCCGGCGGCCGGTTCGGCCCAGGAGCCCACCACCACCACCGGCGGCGGCGATTCGGTTGTCAATGGCAACGCCAGCGGCGGGCTCGGTACCAGGGGCGGCAGCGGGGTGCGGCTGTTTCGCAGTGGGAGCCTAACGGCTCGCGGGACCAACGGAGCCGCGGCTGCGGCCGTGTCGGCCTCGCTCACGAGCAGCACCCACGCGGGCAGTCTCACGGCGCGCGAGTACAAGCCCCCGTCGGGCCGAGCTGTCGCCGACGACAACGGTGAGTCAAGGCCGTCGACAACGTCGGCGACGGCAGGGGCGACGATGGGTCCGATCCAGGCGTCGCTGTCGGGCGGCTCGCTCGACAAGATGTTCGCCAGCCGGCGCACGGGGAAGAAGCAGCGAAGCGCGACGATCGGCGGCGGCCCGCTGCCCCAGCTCGCCTCGACTCCCGACGTCGTCGAGTTTCGCGAGCGCCCGTCGCTCCCCTCGCCGCGCGCACAACCACCATCATCTTCGTCTTCGTCTTCGTTCTTGTCGTCTTCGCTCTCTTCGTCGCACGCGTCACCGCCGGCGTCGCCCAGGACCACGGCCATGATCGAAGGCCGACGGCTCAACAAGGAGCACAGCCTCAGCACCAACAATGTGAGGAATGCAATCATCGTCGCAGCCTCTGCTGGCGCCGGAGCCGGCGCCGTGCCGCCCATCAACCTGCACGAGGTGCGGAAGAAGGACCAGATCAACCTCAAGGAGAAGGACCAAAAGACCATCAAGAAGATCCGCTCGGCCTCGCTCAACCGACAGCACCAACAGACCTCCTCCA